CGGTACCGAAATAACCAGCATGTGATCAAAGCTTAAATAAACTATTATAAAGAATACCCCACCATCATCCTGATGTTCTATTGTTCATTACTTCCGGTAAAAATAAATAGATATCAATACCGTAACATATTTTATCAAAATATTAAATACCGTAACGCATTTTATCAAAATATTCGAAAAAGGTATTTTAAAATAAAAGTGATTGTTGTTTCGTGTCTTTAGTGAACAAGTGGATTTTTCCTCCCTTTTTTTTTAGAAATACATTCCAATAAACTTCCTCGCCAGATCAGCTAACACAAGGATGAATAAGTCCAGCTGTAAATGTGATGGTGTTAAGTCAACGATGTTGACATTTCATGGTACCCTGTTTTAGATATAGATAGCTATAACAGTTAAAGGTAACCGTGACAATGTGTGTGTCTGTGTGTGTGTGTGAGTATGTGTGTGTAGGGGTGGCCAAAACAGTTGAAACCCTCAGCAGCTAAAACTTAAACAAATACACCCTACATTTATTAGGCTTCAAACGCGCGTCATACTGCTAAACACATCCGGGCTAAAAGCGTGTAACATGTTAAGGAGCCAAACGTGCTTTGGAGCTAAACGCGTCGAAAAAAAATGGGACAAAACAGACGCTTAAAAATGTGTTTATGAGCTAAGCACGGTTTTTTTATACAGTGTATAGTCGTGGTATGACTTAGAATAGCATTGCATTTTTCTTTTTTTTTTTTCCTTTTTTTGCTTCACTGGCGAATTCAGTTAGTGAACTGATGTCACAATGACATCAAAGAGTTCAATAAAAGTTATTAAAATTCTAAAATTTACAGAAAAAATTATTGCATTGAGATTCAGTTTGAGTTAGAAAACAAGTCTAAAATAATTTTTATACAAGCTATACAGTCTCTGCATAATTTTCATTTCCCACATATTGGCATTTTCAATGTGGGGCATGAAGTAATATGATAGTCACATATTCCGAATGTCAACGTTATGCATAGCAGATAATTTAAACTAATAATTATGCGCTTTTGGATCCCAATTGACAAATAATCCAAAATAGTAAACTGCCACTGCAAGTACAATGAAAGGAAAGCTGTGTTACTTAAAGTCTCGGTCACAACCGGCCGTACGGGCTCTTACGGGCTGTTTGCGTCCAAATTTTGCTGAGAATTTCACGTCCCACACAAGTCCGTCGTATAAAATTTCGAGTTCGGAGACAGCCCGTAAACACGTACAAAGATGTTGGACATGTCCAAAAGATTCTACGAAAACCCTGCGAACATCGAAGCCACAATGGTGATTTGCTCCCCTCGCACGGAGTTAGCAAGAGAGAGACGCGCGTTGTGCAAGACGCACGTCGTAACCAATGAAGGAGCAAGTGCCCTTTGCGTGTTTGATAAAGTGCACGTCCTCACAACTAACGAACAAAGTCGAAAGCACACACATGGAATGCGTCGCACGTGCGTCAGCCCCACGCCAGGGCCCGGTTTCATCAAGGTTGGATAGGCTATCCTATGGTTAACACTATCCAAGGTATAACTTTCTTATCCTCTGTATAGTTATCATCTGTATAAATTTGTGTTTCACAAAGGCTGGATAAACAGCATGATAGTAATCCAGTGGATAAAAATTTATCCAATACCATATTTAGAAAAAGACATTCCCATAATGCAGTTGGTTGCTATAAACATTATAAAAGCCCTGATAGTTGCTAACAAAAAAGTGATCTATACCATATTTGGAAAATAAACTACCCATGATAAACAATATTCTAAGTATATTCCAAGATGGTACATTCACTAAAATAATGGGACTAATATCTGCTGCATATTTTAGTGTCAGAGTTACAAACACATCACATTGCATTAGTTGTGCCTCATGCAATGTTTACAATTTGCAGTTGAAGGGCAAGGTCGTGACATACTTTCTAACAAAATGGCTGACTTGGCAAGTTTGGCAGATTATGTCAATAGCGGTGTAGAGTTTTTTTTTCGTCGATTAAAAAGGTATGTTTTAGTAAAATAAAAGACAATTGGTCTCTCACGTAGATTGCATGGGTACTGTACGTTCGTAGCAGGCGCGATGTCAACTTTGATAAAGTCTGTTATGTAATCTATTGATTCAGTATCACTCAAATCATCAGAAGCAAACACGTCTTCTAAAATTCCCTTTCTAATTATTCTCCGCCTGTGAAATCTCACAGGATTTACTGCCAAACCAAGCAGGTTAGCCATTTTGATGATTTAACAGCATGATAGCAGATTTATCCCACCTATTTCGAGCGGGCAACTTTATCTTCTGGATAAGCTGATTTATCCCCTGGACAGCCTTGATGAAACCGGGCCCTGGTGTATAAAGGGCGTGCTTACGACGCACGCTCTTGTCTTTACAATGAACGTCGAGTGTGTAACGTGTACAGCAATTTTAAAAAATTTCAAATTTTTGCTCAATTTAGTTTCTAGTATGCCTCCAAAGGGCAAGAGAAGGAAGCTCTCATAATAGAAACGAGGCAGCAAAGCTGTCAAATGTACATACAAAACAAAACAGAAAAAAAGATGCAAAATAGGTCATTTTGTCAATTTTGATGAAATAATAAATAATGCTTATAATAGCACAGTCAGTCAACACTGATTTTTAATCATGCACAACAGGTAACATGGTCAATAACAGGAGCAGATCCAGATATATTTTCTGACATTATTCCAATTATTTAATCTATCCTCCATTTTGATGGTCTCCTGACAGAAACAAATAGATACCCATCAATATAAACTTTAAAATCTGACTGTCTTCCAGGAGACCCAGTAGATGGTCTCAATCAACCCCTTCAATAAGATAACAGTTTCATGACCATGAGAGTTAAAATTCACATGACGAAAGTCCCAATATATGAAAAATGATGACAGTGCATAAAATAATATTACATAGTGTTTAAAGACATTTATTTCAATACAACTGCTTATGTGGAAAAACAAAACAAAACAATATATATATATATATATATATATATATATATATATATATATATATATATATATATATAACCTCAGGTGGATGGGAGTTAAAAGTCACATCTTATAAATGCCAGTGTTGGAGAAAAAAAAACAAAAAATATAATTCCAATGAAGCTGCTATTCACTGCTTCCTTATTTTGGACATTGTGTTATCTAGCAAAGAGCTTAACCTTTGGATGTTTACAGGGAAATATCAAAAAGTGTGCTTTATTAAATATCATTTAATGGTCAATTAATTAGGCAAACGAATTTATAGCACTGAACTTAGCCCAGAGAATACCCAAGGGGAATTTACAGACTGAACACACACATTTGTCTATCAAAGGTCTTCAGGCCCATAAGTCACACCTAAAGAAAAGCAGAAAACAATAATGCCCAAAAACAGGAGCCAATTCTGATGCAACAATATATTATGTTTAACTGCACAGTCAACATCAAGTTTTAATTATGCAACACAGGGTTGACTGATGAAAGTAAAAACATAAGGCTTAATTAGAAAGTGCCAAAATGAGAAAATAAAAATTTTACAAACAATGCATAAATTTAATAAAAATGATAATCCAGTAGAGCTGGTTTTCTAATATGAGCTGTATGTTAATCCTAAGAATCATTTTTGTAAGACTAGTTAAAAATAGAAAATAACACTTTACATAATATTATGGTGGCAGAGCACAAAGTAGGATTTTTTGTCAATTTTGACACAATATTACATAATGCTTAACTGTATAAATACTACCAATTTTAAAATATCTACTATTAAATACATGGACATTAAGAAAATTTGCTCACCACTGGGCTTCATGCCCAAGGGGGCTATAAGTTCCACATTGAAAATTGCAACACGTTAAAGATAAAAATGTTCACAAACGAACTGTATTACACCCAAACAATTAACTAATGAGACAATTGTTCAACTAAAGTTGAATTTCAGTCCTTTGTTTCTTTCCTGTAAGTGTGAGAAGAGCAAGTGACATGGTTTTCCTTTCACCCCCACTACGGAAGCAATGCTCAGAATAGGGTTTTGTTCAATTTTGATGTAATATTACACAATGCTTAACACCATAATAACCATATCTTTAATAATAAAATAAAACTATCATGTATATTTAGAAAATGTGACTAGCCCATAGAGTTCAGAGTCATACTTTGGAAACACTAAAATGTAAACAAGAGAAAACTGTATTTGAAAGAGTTTATTTCCATTTTCAACATCTTTTTTTTACATAAAACAAAATAATCAATTTAATATCATTTTTATATGATCAATCAAAAAGTATGTTGTCAAAGCAAAAATATCAACAGAACAATTTTAAATATCCAACTTGCTCCATTCTGAGATTCTGAATTCAGGGCAGAATTCACCAAATCAGCCAATCAGGGCCTGTTATAGACGAATATAGTTCAGTGAGAAAAAATGAGTGCTTTTTTCCATTTTTTTCCTGGCATTTCTTGTGTGTTGCTAGGGTTAATTTTGGTATCAACTAGCAGAGTAGGGTGTAAACTACTGCCAGTATTTTTTTCAGGACCAGGCACAGGTGCGGTGCAGTCGTGAGACCTCTGGCGGAAGGGTCTACTGACTGTGAGTGGTGCAGTGGTTTGTTTACAAACAGAGGGGTGCACATGTTCAAGTGATGCCGGTAAGAAATATTGTTGAATGACAGTACATTTTTTTGCCATTGGGAGTTATGTCAGTGTGTCTGCTGTCCATGGGGGTGGGAAATGTTTCACAGAACAATTTTATTCATGCAGTTTTGCAGGCATTTCTTAGTATGGTCGTCAATGGGAAATTATTTGGTGGTTTCTGCCCTGAANCTCAGCTAAACAACAGATAGTACAATGTTAATATGACAGGAATGGGAAATGTCTTCCTCTGCTAAACAATATATAGTACAATGTTAATATGATAAGAATGGGAAATGTGTTCCTTTGCTAAACAACAGTCTTCAATGTAAATATGATAGGAATGGGAAATGTGTTCCTTTGTTAAACAACAGACAGTACACTTTAAACTATGAAAACATCCATTGTAATATAACACTTAATGTAATGCAACCAAACTACCTTGATGTCTCCCAACTTTTTCTTCTCAAACTCATCCATCTGTTCCTCCAGTGCCCTGCTGGTCCTTGAGGCGTCTACGTGAGCCTTCTGGAGCTCTGTCTCTGCCTGGGACTGGGAGACATGTTAAGGGCAAACAGCTACAGCCATGGCTTTTTAATGGGCATCTGTTATTTATATCAATATCAAAATGGAAAAGAAACCACTCAAAACTTGAGTAAATCCATACCATAAAATAAAATTCTAATTACAAAGTTATTGAGCACAAAGAAAATACTGTATTCATTAAACTTAAAACAATAAGGACATACTGTATCCATTAAACTTAAAATAATAAGGACATACTGTATCCATTAAACTTAAAATAATAAGGACATACTGTATCCATTAAACTTAAAATAATAAGGACATACCGTATCCATTAAACTTAAAATAATAAGGACATACTGTATCCATTAAACTTAAAATAATAAGGACATACTGTATCCATTAAACTTAAAATAATAAGGACATACTGTATCCATTAAACTTAAAATAATAAGGACATACTGTATCCATTAAACTTAAAATAATAAGGACATACTGTATCCATTAAACTTAAAATAATAAGGACATACTGTATCCATTAAACTTAAAATAATAAGGACATACTGTATCCATTAAACTTAAAATAATAAGGACATACTGTATCCATTAAACTTAAAATAATAAGGACATACTGTATCCATTAAACTTAAAATAATAAGGACATACTGTATCCATTAAACTTAAAATAATAAGGACATACTGTATCCATTAAACTTAAAATAATAAGGACATACTGTATCCATTAAACTTTAAATAATAAGGACATACCGTATCCATTCATTTTTAAGCACATGAAGCTCATCTGTCATAAAATGTAAAATGTATTATTTAATAAACTTAATGAAGAGAAGCAAAAGGGATACAATTTGCTGGCGATCACTGGGGTTTTTCTCCCTGATTTTATCATACTGCTTCTGCTGTTTTTCTTCTTTGCCTCTAGCAGCAAAGGCTGCCTTCAGATCCTCCTGGAATACAACAAGTAGGAAAAGTTGTAAAAAGCTTAGTTACATTGTTGTGGGCTCTCCAAAGTTTATCATCTGAAATGTCTTCTTCACTGAAAATAACTTGTCTCTTTTACGGTCTCTCAACTGACTGTGGGGGTAATTAAATGAAATGCTGGTTCACATTTATTTTCCACTTGTTTGTGATTTCAAGAGACATAAAATGTACTTACTCTGGCATGCTTGTAGACATTCCCACATGTGGACAGTGGGGCTATCATCTTAGTTTTATGATACAACTTACTCTGGCATGTTTGCAGACATTCCCACATGTGGACAGTGGGGCTATCATCTTAGTTTTATGCTAGAACTTACTCTGGCATGTTTGCAGACATTCCCACATGTGGACAGTGGGACTATCATCTTAGTTTTATGATAGAACTTACTCTGGCATGTTTGCAGACATTCCCACATGTGGACAGTGGGGCTATCATCTTAGTTTTATGATAGAACTTACTCTGGCATGCTTGCAGGCATTCCCATATGTAGACAATGGGGCTATCACCTTGGCTTCCAGTCTCTGCACCTAGAAATTACAGAGATAGTATAAGTACTGGCATGTTAATTCCCACTAAGCAAACACAACATGCATACACTGCATGCTTTTTGTGCACCCAAGTGTCTTAGCAGGGACCATTCAGAATGAGAAGAGCTGAGTGCTAGCTAGGCCACGACCTAAATATGGTAGACCTACATGAAAAGAAGACCGTTTAATACTGTAATACTTTATCTGCTTCTCACACGTCTCCCCGTGCATCGTCCCTGCAGGGGGCACAGTAATTAAATCTCAGCTCAATTCAACCAGTCGAGGAACGACATGTGGGGAGCCATGTGAGAAGTGGAGAGACCATTACAGGATTTAGCAGTCTTCCTTTTATGAAGGTCTGCTATATTTAGGTCGTGGCCTAGCTAACACTCAGCTCTTCTCATTCTGAATGGTCCTTAAGACACTTGGGTGCACAAAAACAAACAAACCAAACAAAACAAAATGACCAGCGCATGTTAAGGAGGTTGATAGGTTATAAAGGCATATATTGAGTGAAATGTTCCTAATTGCTTATTTGTAAAATATTTATTTTAATACAAGTGCAATATATTTATATAACACTTTAACAGCACAAACTCCATTGTCTGTTGTTTTACTCATCACCATACAAATATCTACTCAGAGGCTGATCAAGCATTAACTGTCAATTCTGTTGCTTTGTAAACTGGGGTGAGATAATGATTAGTGTCCAAAGTAACTTGGTAACCAAGAAATATATTACTTGTATCATAAACCTGGCAAAGTATGTTGGTATGTTATGTGATCAGTGATGTAACTGAGGAGTGGCTATTTTTAGTAGTGTTAGTCTTGAGCATAATTGTATTATCGGTGTTGATTGTATTTTGTTTTTTGCCCAGCACGTGTCATGTTAAACTTTGTTAGACAAGTCGTCAGATTCTCGCAACGAGTTTCACGTTGATGAAAGTTGATATAAGTTGTTTCCAGTTGAAAGTCGATGTAAGTTGATTTAAGTTGATGAAACTTGATGTAACTGATACAAGATGATACACAGTACCATTTGTTACCAGTTGATGTAACCAGTTGATGTTATATATCGTTGACAGTTGAATAAAATTGATTGACACCCGCAACAAGTGAAATAGGCTTGGAATGGGGATGAAACAGGTTTTTACATCTGGCATGCCTTGGCATTAAATGGTGCTTGGGTGTTTCAGATAGTTTTGTATTGGACAGAAGAAAACAGGCCTGGTTATGGGAGTTTCAAACAATGGACTGAACAACAAACAAAAGGAGGATGTACCTGCGCATTCCTGTAATCTTGCACTGCCGACAGGTATTCTGCAAACTGGGTCAGGCCTGTCTTGGATGTCCCATTTAAGGTGCTGTTGATAGCATAGTCCATGACACTCTTACACACCTCATCACCTACCAAGATAGCATGCAACTTCAGCCATATATATATATATAATATTTGTCCTAGTAGATAGAGAGCATTTAAACCCCTTTCTGTTCAATAAATAATTAAAAAACAAGAGTAAAACTATGAGAAGCTTCTATGCAGTTTACTTTTAACAATTAAGTAAAAAATAAAGATAAATCAGAACTAAAAAATTGTTTTAATGACATTATACACATGTTTTTATTAAAGATGATTACCAATGACAAAGATAATAAAAACTGTGCACCTTTGTTAGGTATATCAGAAAAACACCAGTTACGACTGTAGCGCCCCTAGCGGATTGTGATCTACCTACCTTTGTCCCGGAGCTTGGCACATTTTCTTGCATAGGCGCCAAAATGGTAACATATTTCACCAAAATACTTCTCTACCTGCCCTATCCGGTCTTGAATGAACTTGGACTGGTTTTCACTAAAATATATTAAAAAAAAAACACATAGTTTAATATTGCACAGCATTTACTGTAGTTTTTGTACTTCAGTATAACAAATCTAGATTAGGTATATCACAATCTGCTAGGGGCGCTACAGTCGTAACTATCTAGGGGCAGTGAAATGTAAAACTGAAATCGGCCTGCTGACAGTTCGCCTATGGAACCCCTTTTTCAAATCTCTCTTTTAGCGCCGCGTAAATAAAATAATACAAGCCATTAACTAAATAAGCTGTAAATCAAAGAGTAAAATCCGGTCACGTGATTTTCCCATGTTGCAGTCTTTGAGAAGTTTCGGTTTGGGTTGTTTGAAGTTTTGCCTCGACAAAATGCTCAAAAATGTCAGTTAAGTGCTGGTTTCAGCTTTTTGAAATTTATAGCCAATAAAGTTTATGAAATTTGCAATATTATGTAGAAAAATCATGAAAATTAAACCATGCGAAGTATAGTTTATTTGATGCGCAATATTTATAGTACATGATCTGCACGGAAGCCATCCCAGCCATGTGCTTGTGCGGTCGCCAATTTGGGTTTGTTTCCGGGTCATTAGAATTTAGATTAACATACGGCCATAATTGCCCTACAGTAATTGGTCACAAGCAATTTGAGCTGCAGCTACAGCTGAGTGATCACCGCTGGTCAGTAGTGACAGGTTTTAAGCTGAAGAGTGTGGACACTTTTGGTGAATTTTTGCAGTTAAAAAACTTCAATATCTTTGTTGCTTGTAAGAATATTTAAAAAATTCCAAATGATTCCATTTTTCTGATATATACCTATCTAGATTAAATTTGACACGTGCAATTAGAAAAAACCTGCTGCCTTATATTATAACCTATTTGAATAATTCACTTCAATTACCTTGTTTTAATTTCAGTTGCATTCCTAGTAGTCATGTTTTGTCTTCAGTTCAGATATTTTGACGTCTTTTCATCATCAGATGAAAAAATAGCGTATTATTTTCAAATCAAATTCTGGTCTCTATTCGCTAAAGAGCTCTACATCATGGTTAGTTCCCTGGACCGAAGTGGTATTAAATGTGTTTTATTTTCACCAATATTCATTCATAATACTTGTAAAAGCCATTTAATTTATGTTCATTTTGAGTATATAATATGAGTATATATAAATGAGTATAAGATGCTTAAATCCCTACAGGGTCAAAATCGCAATGATTTTAGTGAATAACTTTGTCATTGATATTGGAACTAAGCAGATAAACTATTGACCTATTTATTGATGGTATTTAGGTCACAGTTGAGAGGCATACATTTGGCTGCAGAATGGCTTCGATCGAGGTTTTGGTTACGCTGTTGGTCGTGTCCTTTTTACACGTAAGTGTTATTCTAAAGTGTGATCAGGCTGATCTTTGAGGTAATGTTAAGGGGATATCCACAGTTCATGTTCTCCAGGAGTTCAGTGAATAGACTGTTTTTGTTTTGTTTGTACACGTGGCGTTGGAACAATGACAGTTTACACACTACATGTATCGCAGTAAAAAAGTTTATCTGATTGTGAACGGCGATGTTATAAAAAAGAGAAACATATATTGAACATGATTTTCACTTTGTGAAATGGATAGTCTAACTTTTTTGTTTACTTTTTCATTCTACATTCGTGAAAACGCACTTTAAGTAACTTTACAATAATACTACTACTACTAATAATAATAAATAAGAAAGAAATGTTCGAGATCTATCTCTAACACCGCTTTTTGTCAACTGTGACTTCAAAAGTCATGCTCAGCTGTCACTTTGATTGCATGGTTACTATAGAAAACGATTAACGTAAAATTACTACACTTTTTCAATAATTGGACATATATAAACTGTAAAACTACATAATATGAGATCTTACCGTGCCATAATAGTGTACCACAAAGCAAAAGGAAAAAAAAAAAAACAACAACATCAGAATCAGTTAAAGTATTCAAAACGAATGGCGTTTGCAGTTAAATCCCACATAGTCAATAAAATAGAGAGAGCTTGTGAAACAAGAACCCTTCATGCACATTCAAAACTCAGAATAAAATAGAGACGGTCATCAAATCACAGTCAAACTCACAGCAATTACATTTAACGCTCTAGGCTACATCGTTCCATTCATCATTTGTTAATCCCACTTAATTGGAGATTGGTAGAAATCCTCATTAAATGCGTACAATGTACAAAGTCCACGCCTGCAGACTCCAAACAACAAGCATTTTCTAACCAGTCATGGCGCAGCCGAGTATGGTCAGACCAAAAACACTAATTTCTTTAACATCTTGAATTTTACTTCTTTTTTACCTGATGTCCCATGTAGAGAGAGACAGCTACTGTAGTCACTTGTTGATACAGGTTCATGTCAATTAAACACAGGTTGATCGTTTTGATAACAATTTTGGATGATATATACAAGTCAGTATTGCCACTGTTGCAGGAAGGGCAGGCAGCCACAGCGCAGGTGACAAAGACCGTCTTCTTTGACATTGAAATAGGAGGGGAAAAAGCTGGAAGAATAGAGATTGGATTGTTTGGAGATGTTGTTCCAAAAACTGTGGAAAACTTTGTGCAGCTGGCAACAGGACAAAATGGCTATGGCTACAAAGGAAGCTTATTCCATCGTGTTATCTCAGATTTTATGATCCAAGGTGAGTTTTTCTTTCTGTGTAAAACATTCAGAATTCTATACAGTAGTTACACAGTTCTTTTTTAAAACACTAAGCTAAAAAAGGAAGTCTTTGTTACATGAAAGTACAGTTTAATTGGAGAATAGAAGAATGACCATATACTAGTAAATTAATTCTCTTTCAGAAAGAAAACTGTTTTGTCCTCAGTTCTCTGTTTTATCCATCCTTGCACTTGTCAGATGTATTATGATTTAGTGATTTAGTTTAAATGTGCCATAGCAGACATATAAAATATGACAGTCTGGAAAATGTTCTAATATGTAAAATATACTTTTAATGTGGACAAATATCAGGAAGAAAATTTGTTTGAATGAAATTCAGAGATGAAAATGAGATATAAGAGACCACAGTAAATGCTGCATTTCTGTGTAAAATTTCATTTTCTTTGATGTTGAATTTTATCAGGAATTGTTCACTAGTAGGAAATCTAGGTAGGGATTAAAATGCAGACAATGCTTTTAAAAGGAACATTAAGTAACCCAAAATGTTCATCTCCAGAGGGTGCAGTGATGTGATAGTGAGGGAATGCTGAGAGTTCAGAGTTAAGTGTCATTAAGAAGTGTTAAGATAAACCCATAGAATACAAAGTGGGTGGAAACTATTTAATGTTGTATTTTATATGTACTTACTAGTAATGTGTGGTGGTGGTTAGTGCATTGAGGCATAGTTTGGATATTATTCACACTTTCTTTTTGTTGAAATGTGTGATAATGGAATGTTTGGCTATATCCCCAGTTTTAAATGCTCTTTGAAATGTATGTGGTGACTTCATTCATTCTATGTGTCATCACTGAATTGCTTTCTCCATTTTATTAACTGATGCAGTAAATAATGTAGAGGGAATGTTAAAGACAAATTAAAACCACAGAGTGTTTTTCTGAGTATCATGATCAACACTTGGTGTGTGGTTGTCATATGGATTTTGGTTCAGATTATGAAAGGTTTGAGGGACAAAACAATAATGTCATTTTCTTTTGAATTTAATACAAAATTGAATTTCACGAAGTGTGATAATAGCAACTTTACAAATAAATATTTGCTTTACTTAAAAGATCCTTTTACCATACTATAGGAAATTAGTCTAATGATGTGGTAATAACCTCTTCTTGTGGTGTGCAATCAGCTGAGCTGTATCAGATGAAACTGACATGATGGACACTGAAATATTAGAGTGCCAAAATGAACTTGTTTTAAAGGTACAATGTACATACAAACCGAGCATCGGAGGAGTGTGGATTCCCATTAACACATATAAACCACTTTTACTAGTTTCTTATATGAGTCAAATAAATTCGACGTGTGAAGGGATAAAATGAATAGATCACTCGATCAGCTGTAAAAGAGCTTTAGACTGCTCCTTTCTTTAGGGTGTATCCAGGAATTTATTGGGGGTGTATTATTTTGGTAAAACCAGGGGCTGACTGAGACGGGGGCTGAGAGGGGGGCTGAGAGGGGGGCTGAGAGGGGAACTGAGAGGGGGGCTGAGAGGGGGGCTGAGAGGGGGGACTGAGAGGGGGGCTGAGAGGGGGGGGCTGAGAGGGGGACTGAGAGGGGGGCTGAGAGAGGGGGCTGAGAGGGGGGACTGAG